TATATATTTATTTTTTTAAATTTTTTTAATTGCCAATACACAGCCCTATGCCTTTGTGAATGCTAACGCTCTCTCTGATAAATAATTCAGATCTGAAAGGAAACAGAACAAACAGTCTCTGCTGGATTGTCAGTCAGTCGACAGATGTGAAAACAGGAACGCACAGAGGAGAGAGACAGGGTCAGGGGTCAAACATCACAGACGACACCATCTCAATGGGTGAATAAAAGATAAAACAGGCTTTTATCTGATTATATCAGTGAAATTATCTCGATAATGGATAGGGAAAACCAAAATTGAGTATTTTAATCACCAAGAAGAAATTCTGCATTATATTTTTGGATTTTTGAAAAGATATTTTTTATTTCCAAGCTAAAACCTGAAATCCTCAATCAGTGTCCGCCAATATACGACTACAGCAGATCCACTGTCATGTCATCCAGCTCTTCTTTGCCTCCTATAGTCTTCCATCAACTCCACTGGGTGAGATAAAAGAAAGTCTGAGCTTGAAAAGAGGGCGACGAAATATGAGGTTACTCAAGAGGAAGAGGGTGAAGTGGTGTATGGGGAGAGAAGAATGAACTGAAATGATAAGTATGGAAAAGAGAGAGCTATAGTGGAGAGAGAAGTGCTGTTGATGACACAGAGAAAATCATCTCAACATCTCTCAACATGATGAACTCTCTAAAAAGGATTGTCTCTCAACTCTCTCTATAAACTTCCACCAACTTGCCTCCTCTACCTAAATCTACTCCGTCCTTCCTTTAATAGCAGCTACTGAAATCTCCAGTTATAATCTCTCCTCGCCTCTGCCTCATCTTTTTTATTCTTTAGCAGCAGCTGCAAAGACTGAGGGATAATATTAGCACCCAATTCATCTACATCATCCCTTTCACACATTAGTGTCTCATTGCAAAGCACCATTTTAGTCAAGCCACTTCCCTGTTACATTTGTATTCAAACCTAAAGTATATCTTCCTCTATAAAAAAAAGCAACGTAACACCAGCCAGCTAAATACATCCTGGAGAATCTGAATTGCTTGTCAGCAACACGCAAGACCTAATGAATGAGATGACTGTTCAATTCAAGGTCCAGTGTGTAGGATTCAGTGGCATCTAGCGGTGTAGTTGCAGATCTCAGATCGCAACTCCCTTACTTCACCCTCCCCTTCCAAGTGCAAAGTAGAAATTATGGTGGGTGCGAAAAATACGAACGCCCCGATCTAGAGCCAATGTTTGGTTAAACATGGAAGGCGACCAGTGACGTTTTTCGGTACAAAAGGTTTATTCTAAAGTAACAAAAGCATCATGAATCCTGTATTCAGGAGATATGCTAATGAAAACATAATTATATTATGCATATTATATTCCATTTCTGCCAATAGATTCTCCTAAAGGTTACACACTGGACCTGTAAATTACATTACTGTCTGACATTATTAAAGAAAAGAGTGCAAACTGTGGCCATTAACCACATCTGTATGTCCTGCTTATGGATGATAAATCTTACTGGTCTATTTCGACTTTAGACCTGATCTCTAGCTAAAGAACACAGCTGGAAGGAAAAGAACAGGACACTGAAAAATGGTGCCCTATGACTGTAATTTCATGAGAGAAATGAATATCAATGTTGATTCAATTTAGGGTGCAATAAATGTCAATTAATCTGAGAAGGGCTTGATTAAACTCATTCTTCACCTCCACCTGACCGACCTCTGTTCACCATGTGGAAAACGCAGCATCCAGCTGAGCTGAGAAGATGCCACATGGACTCGCTATATTCTGTCATCCTGAGCCAGCTGCACACAACTGCTTTCCTACTCATGAAATCATAACTGCTACTCTGAAAGAAAAAAAAGCCACAATGAGTCCATAGCAAACTTAGAATTCGTCATCTCTCAGAAAGCTGCAGAATATTTCAAATGCTTTGAATAATTCATTTTCGTTTCCAGACTAATAAAGGTCATGGTGGTCTATATAAACAGCATCCTCTTTTCACAGTGACATGATTTCTTTGTTCCTCATAGTCTGTAGAGAGGACCAGCACACCCACACAAACACTAAGCCTCACAAACTATCAAGAGAATTGTTGAGTAGCTGCGCTGAGCTTAATAGTCGGCTTTTATTAACATGTTACTGTGTTCTTCCACTATTCAGGCTATAGAGCTAATTGCTCTTATCTCAATGTGAATGGCCTTTTTTTGCTGCTCATTATGAGAGTTCTGCACTCCCCTCTCCCTGTCTCCTCCTCTTCTCTCCTCCCCTCTCTCTGACCTCTCTAAGGTTGAGAAATGGGAGAAAGAAAGTGAGAGAAATACACTAGATCCAGAAGGAAGAAAAAAGCCACTCAGACCACAAAGACAAAGCAGCTTTGCCTGTGGTTTGTGGGAGCAGTGCTTGCTGGGAGTTGGAGTCTTGCCAGCGTCAGTGAGCAGCCTTGACAGTATTGGTTGATAAGCTGTTCCATCTAAACAAACATTTGTTAAAACTGCAAGGGGGACATTTAGAGGAATGCTGAAGCTCTCCTGCGTTGGGGTGAGAATTAAGTCCTTTTTGACTTTGCTGCATGGTCAGGAGATGGGTAGTGATTGTGGGAGGATACAGACTTACTGTGCTACACAACAATGATCAATAAAAAACAATTATTTAATTACCTGATCAATAGTCAATGCACATAAAAGAGAATGTTAGCACAAAGCCTGCCACAAACAGATCAATAGCAAGGAGGACCAAAATGTCATT